AAAAAACTGGGCCTAATTGCTCACCCTTAAAGTTAATTACCAAAATGGTCCCTTGACTATAGCTAATTACCAATTTGGTCTCAAGTTAACAGTTGACTAACGGTTAAACAAACGGAGGACCAAATTGGTTAAGATTTTTAAAGTTGAGGGACTTAATTAGTAAAAAAAATTAGTCAAGAACCAAATTGGTAATTTTGCTATAGTCAAGGGACCATTTCGGTAATTAACTCTTTAATAAGGAATAGTAGTGAGAAAGAGCACTTGATTGAACAATATTACATGTGAGTATGTGACTTGACAAAAACATATAAACAAACAAATTAAATTACATGAATCACATTATTGAAGAAAAAAAGTTTATTTTACTTTTCGTCCATCAATTACAATGTTGATTTTTTTATTGGTCTTAATTTGTTTCAATTTTAGTTATTAACTTTGTTCTACTTATAGTTTGAAACCTCAAAATACCCTTATTTTGTGAAAATTTATCGAACTTCTTCATACTATATTTAAAAGTATTTTAAGTAAAGACTTTGGGGTCAAGTAGCACAATCTAAACTCCCTGTTCTCCTTAGTTGTATCGAAAGTATAAGGAATAAGGGTCAAATAGGTCATTGAAATACACACCAAAATGTAATTAGACCATTGAACTCAAAAAATATGTAATTGGGCCCCTAAACTAACCAATGCAATTAGTCCAATTTGCAAGTTTTTCAAGTTTCTAACATGTCACATCAAATTTAAAATATTTTTTAAAAATAATTATTTAAAAAAAAAAACCGTCTCTGCCGGAGACGAATCCATGGTCGGAGACGAAGAAACTTCTTCGTCTCCGGTAGCGACATTTTTTTTTTTACTTTTAAATAATTATTTTTAAAAAATATTTTAAATTTGATGTGACGTGTTAGAGACTTGGAAAGTTTGTAAATTGAACTAATTGCATGAAATTTATTAGTTTAGGGACCTAATTGCATATTTTTTGAGTTCAATGATCTAATTGCATTTTGATGTGTAGTTCGATGGCCAATTTGACCCTTATTCCAAAGTATAACATTTTTTTGCTTCAGCGGCAGGATGATCTGAAGGCCCTTGGGCAGGAGTTCTAGGTGCTTACGATTAGTCTAAGTTGGGAAAATCTAATTTATCAAGAAGAAAAATATATAACATTTTTAATGTTATAATAATTAAAATTACAACAAATTAATTAAGGTCAGTAATTATCACTATTCATAAATAATTAATTTTACCAAACATCTTTCTATAAATTGTTAATCAAATCGCTAACCACTAACTACTAATTGTTAAACATGGCCTATAAATAAAAATGTTACTCGACTGAATTTTTGTAAGAAAATGATTAGAAGTGTAGATGTCATATTACTCTCTCTGTCTCATTTTATTTGTCATACTTACTATTCAATGGTCAAATCAATTCTTTCTTTTTGTTTATTTTCTTTAATACTCTTTTACTTATTTTTAAATTTGATTTTTTGTGTTTAATAGTACTTTTAGTCTAGTTTCTAAATATATAAATTTTATATACTAATATTAAACTTAACTAGTTTTTGCCCCGTGCGATGCACGGCATAAAATTTAAGTAACTTTATTATTGATAATATTTTAAAAACAATAAAATAAAATATTAATCATGAAATTAAAACTTATTCTGAAATGTATTTTTCTTTAACAATACTAAATTGGTTGTTATATCGAACATCACATACTGTTAGCATATATTATAAAGAATTGTGTTATAACATACCATATGAAATTTAAAAAGTGTACATTAAAATAATTATACACACACACACATTTTTATAAAAAAAAAATTAAAAATTAGGAAATCAAACAATATACAATAAAAAATTATGAAATTAAATTTTCTTATATATAAAAACATTTATTAATATGATTTGCAATTAAAGTCTATAGTACATATACTTGACAATATATAAATAAAAAATACAGTATCATCATCATACATTGAAACTAACTACGAAAATCTTTTCTTAAACATTGCTTAATTATAATAATTATATACGTACAACATATATAAATCTAAACTAAATATGAAATATTTCATGACATGAAAGAAAAAATAAAACCTGCAATGCTAAACCCAATAAACATTTAATTATCTATCCATATAACCCAGTTATGTTGCATTTCAGCCCAATACCCGAGCCCATTAACCCAATTATAAAACCTGATTACCAAACCCTAATCCATATTTTTTGACGATTGCGCTTTCGTCTACTCTATTGCGTTCGTCATTCTCTCTAAAATGTTCATTGACTTACGCGAAACTTCTCTGTTTCCGGCGTCTTGACACACTCGATTTTAAATCATCGCACGTCCAAGTAATCCACTGCTAAAAAACTTTTCAGATAATCTGACCGTAGCTTTTGGCCGTTGTGGAATTGCTTTCTTCCCCAAATGCCGATCTGAAAAATCGGGTGACCGGAGCATATCTAAAACAAACTAATAAATACAGTATCATCTTCAGGTAAAACTTATTGTTTAGAACGAAATTAAGAAATACATCATATTTTCTAATTACTTAATATCAGTTCAATAATTATTTGTTTAAACTTATTCGTCTCTCCAATATTATTGTTCATGCAACTGATTTAAATTTTAAAAAACTTTTTTTCAATTTAGTAACTTATTTAGTAACTTTTTTTAAAAAAAAATTTCCCTCTCAACTATATTAGAATGAACAATTAAATTGTTGTCGATCAACAAAATTGTAAGGATAAAAAAACAGGTTAATCTTATTTTTTAAAATCGGATACTCTAATTTTTTTCAGTAAACAATAAATTAATTTATATAATAAAATGTTAACTTAAATAAAAATGTTACTCGACTGAATTTTTGTAAGAAAATGATTAGAAGTGTAGATGTCATATTACTCTCTCTGTCTCATTTTATTTGTCATACTTACTATTCAATGGTCAAATCAATTCTTTCTTCTTTGTTTATTTTCTTTAATACTCTTTTACTTATTTTTAAATTTGATTTTTTGTGTTTAATAGTACTTTTAGTCTAGTTTCTAAATATATAAATTTTATATACTAATATTAAACTTAATATTATAAAAATTTGAATTAAAAATAATATCAGTCAAACCTCATTAACTGAATCAGACACATTAAAATGAGACCGATGGTATTACATTTTAACCAATGCACATTTAAGATAGTGATATCTTAAGTAGATCCAAACAAGATTAGGTCATTTCCTCTCAAGAGCTCATAATGAATGGTTGAAACTTAGATTTGAATTTATCATAACATCAAAATTAGGGAACAGTTATGAAAGGTATTTGCCAAGCTAGCAATATTACTATTTATTACTTCCTCTATCCCATTTTGTGTGTCTGGTTCGGTTAATGAGGCTTGACTGAAGTTATTTTTAGTTTAATTTTTCATAATATTAAGTTTAGTATTAGTATACAAAATTTATATATTTAGAAACTACATTAAAAGTAATATTAAACACAAAAAATTAATTTTAAAAATAAGTAAATAATACTAAAGAAAATAAATAAAGAAGAAAGAGTTGGTTTGACAAATGAATAGTAAGTACGACAGATAAAATGAGACAGAGAGAGTATTTATTACTATTTCAAATCTATTTGGTAGGGCTTATAACTTTTTTTTTTTTTTTTTTTTAAAAACGTAGGGCTTATAACTTATTTTAAGTTGCAAATAAGTTATAAGCTCTATTTAATAAAACATAGAGAGTTTAAAATAATAACTTATTTTGAAACACTATAGTCTACAAAATAAGCTCATGGCTTTAATTTTTAGCTTTTTCGTTTTATTTTTCTTTATTAATTTACAAAAATGAAACCATCCATCGTTCATTAATCAAAATCTTAATATTTAAGTTTATCCTCTTTGTATAGTGTGCTTCAATAGGTTGAGAAAGTATATTTAAACATATACTACAATGTAACAGAGTCGATAGTACTAAAAAAAATCCTCTTTTTATACTTATTATCAACTAATTCAAAAATTAATTTTACCAAAAACTTTAATTTCAATTAGTTAACTTATTAGCTGCTAACTTTTCAACTTTTAACTTTTTGTTAGGCATATCAAACAGATCCAACATATTTTGATTAATTTTTTAAAAATTAAAACACATTTTTTTTTTCATCCAATAAAATTAAGATATTTGTCAAACACAAGATCACATCCTTATAATTAATTAGTGGTAGGTCTGGGTATAATAAATAAAGTCAGATTTCAACTTGGATTAGAATAAAAGTTTGATGATATCACATGCATCATTTCATATCCTTAAACCAATCAAAAGTTTTCACAAATTAAACCAAAATTATGAAAACCAAACCCAATATTTTTTAATTTGAGAAAAAAACATGCCACCGTTATCGAGTAACATACATTGAGTGAAACTTATTTTGTAATCCTAATTGACAAAAGACAAGAAGGTTAAATTGTTCATAGTTGACCAGTTCAAATTAAGAAGTCAACTCCACTACTTTATAAGAAGTCAAATTTAAAATTTTACTATTAAAAATTAATTATCCTATCAACTTAATTGGAGTTGCGTCCAAAACTGAATATTCTAACCCCACTTATGCCCCTCATTAGAAACAAATTATTAACTTTTATTTATTAAAAAAAAAAAAAAACTGAACAGCCCCTCATTCAGTTTGACTTTCATTTTCAATGCCAACCACACCACACCAATTCCTGCAATATTTATATATTCAGCAAATTTAAAAAAATAAAATGGCATTATTTTTTATTGGAAAGAATGCTTTTCTTGTATTGCACCACCAAATAGTCTCCACTCCCACAACTTCCCACTCTCAAAACTCCAAAGGATTCATTATTCTTCTGGTAAAAAACTCTGCAAGACTCCTCATCCCCAGTCCCCAATCCCCAATCCCCAATTTCCCATACATCCAGTAACAGAGGTCTCTGACTCTGAGTAGGAAAGAAAAGGGATATGAGAGAGTGATGTGATGGAGGTGTCTGTACAGTGCAGCAGCATCTGGGATGATGTTTTGGAGCTAACGAAGGTGGCCCAAGAGAAGGGTTGTGACCCTTTGGTGTGGGCAATTCAAGTTTCCTCACATTTGACCTCAGCTGGAGCGCCTCTGCCTTCTATTCACCTGGCCCATCTCTTGGTGTCTCACATTTGCTGGGAGAATAATGTGCCCTCTGCTTGGAAATTGTTGGAGAAGGCCTTGGTTCTCAAGATTGTGCCTTCTCTCATTGTCTTTCCACTGCTATCCAATAGGTCTGCAGCCTGCTCTTTTTGCTCTATTCAATTTCCAACCTTTTTCTTAGCTTCTTGTCTTTGATTCATCAATATATGTAAAGCTTTTTGCTCGTTGTTTGATTTTTTCTTTGAGATCCTGTCTTTCGTTTTTCTCCATTTTCATTTCCGTCGGATTTCACAAACAAATATTTGCATTTTATATTATTTGATGCATCAAATGGTAGATGAGAGTTTAATGGGATTGATCTTTTTATTTTGCTTTATATATTGATTTTGGATTTTGGATTTTGGATGGGCGGAGGAAGTTTTGGTTTAGGCTTATTTTATTTGTTTTATTCATAGGGAGAAGGCATTATTTGTGACTATCTGCAAATGAAAACTTAAACTGGGGTATTTGTGCTTATTGAATCATTGTTGTCATGTAGCACTTGTTTGTTTTTTCCAACAAATGGTGGTCCAATATATTCAATCATGCTTGTTTTTTTTACTTTGATGAAAAAGAGGCTGTCACAGTCATTGGCCTAATGCTGTTATTATTATTATTTTTCTTGTTGATAAATTATGATTGATAAATTTTGGAGTTACATTGGATGCACTTCCTCTTGCATTGTAGACCCTGGTCCAAAATAACCCAGATTATGTGCCTGTAGTTGTCCTATTCTGTACTTGCAGTTAACTGTGTATGTCTTTAAATAAATTGGACGCATATAACATAACATGTTAACTACATACAGAAAAAAGGATAATTACAGACACATAAATTATTAACTGCAGGTACAGAATATGTTAATTGTACACACATAATTTTTGGACCAGGGTTTACAATGCAAGATGAACCAAAGCTGATGCACCTGCTCTTCAGCTCACCAAGTCTGCAAGTGCAAGAAACTAACTTCAATGCATTTTATTTTTAATTTTTTTAACCTTTACTCCTTCACCTCTATACATGTATGCTGGAGTACAATTTCATTTAAAACATTGTGAAAATTCCCAATATCACTGGAGAAGATATGGATGTAAATGCTATACAGGGGTGATTTTGATAGAATCATTTGCCATCTATGTTATGCGTTTATTAATGCACTCATTCTGCTTTTCATGTATTGTAATCATCATAGCTGTGGTTAATACTTACTATCAAAGTTGTTCTTTAGGAAAGTACTTTACTCTTTATGCTTCTTTGATTTATCAAGAAAAGTTTATGCAATTTTGTCTTGGAATCTAAGACAAGTTGAACAATTGATATTGTTTTTGACTTTTTGTTGAAGGCTGTTTTTGCTTTGTCAATTTTGGTCCGTTATTAGTGTTGTCTTACTCTGCTGTTCATTTTCATGCAGGGTTATCCCAAATCGTCATTTGCGACCTGCAGCCTTCAGGCTTTATATGGAACTCCTGAAAAGACACATATTCACACTTAAAATGCACGTATGCATGCCAATCAATGAAAAGTGAGTTCATTTATCTCTAGTAATCATTGAATTTATAATTTTCCATTTTAGTGTTTTGTTTCAAAGGCGTAAAGTTTATCCTCCTTCCTTTACTTCATAACGATAATTGCCCTTAAAATGTAGGGTCATGGATTACTTGGACTCTGTTCTCCATTTCTCTCAGATATTTGGCAGACGGGCCGAGGAGCATGGCACTCTTGTGATTGACATTATTTTTTCAACTGTTTTTCAATTACTTGATGCATCGTTAGATGATGAAGGGTTGCTTCAACTTACTCCAGAGAAGAAATCTAGATGGCTAAATAAACCTGAAGATATGGATTTGGATGGATTTAATAGTTATGATGCAGAGATGTTTGAGCATAAAGAGAGACTGAAAAGTATGAATACGGTCATGTGTGTTGAGTTGATTGGGAAATTTCTAAGAAACAAAGTAACTTCCAGGATTCTTTACTTGGCTCGCCAAAACATGTCAGAACTTTATTCCTTCATAACTGCATTTTAACATGCTACTATTTCAGTGCATTTTGTCATTTGAGGGAAAGTTGAAAATAAGTAGGAAATATATTTATTTCTACCTTGAATAAACACAAAATTCCTATCAAAATAAATAAATAAACAGATGAACCCATTATTTCTTTTTCAGTTATCCGCAGTTGACTAATAGCTTTTTTCATTTTCAGGGCCGCACATTGGGAAGATTTTATCCAACGCATAGAACTGCTTATTGCAAATTCTTCAGCATTGCAAAATTCAGAAGTTCTAACTCCAGATGGTCTCCGTCAGTTAACATCAGGTGTTCACAATTTACTGTCTAGGGACTGCAGAGCAAATTCTCTGAGAGAGTCTCAAGCATTAATGGCTTCAAAACCTTTGGCAACCTGTGCTGGTCTTTTCCTTGGGACTAGTTGTTCTTCTTTTTGGCTACCTCTTGATCTGGTATTAGAAGATGCAATTGATGGTTCACAAGTTAGTGCCACAAGTGCCATTGAGATTATAACTGGTAAATTCTTTTTTCATTATATACGCAATTGTGATATTCATTATGATGCCTAACAGAATAAAACCCGTGAATCTTCTCTCTAGGTTTAGTGAAGTCCCTTCAGGCAATAAATTGTACCAGTTGGCATGAGACTTTCTTAGGACTTTGGATGGCAGTGCTGCGATTTGTCCAAAGGGTGAGAAATTTGCCTTGAAATACTGCAAGCACTATGACCCACTTCGTGTCCACAAGAAAGCACTATAAATTTGATTGAGAGTGGTTTGCTTAATACAGAAAATAATTTATTTGGTAATAATTTTGTTGTAATTTGAATTTAGGAGAGGGATCCTATTGAGGGACCGGTGCCCCGTTTGGAGACTCGCTTGTGCATGTTGTTCTCTATCACAACACTTGTGATAGCTGATCTCATTGAGGAAGAGGAAAGTGCAGACCCTAACGGGATTGAGCACAGTATGGATGGACACTTTGAAAAACAGGGTTATGGACAACGTCGTAAAGATTTAATCTCTAGTCTACAGTCTCTTGCTGGTTACCAGAGCTTGCTAATTCCACCTGAGTCAGTTATTTCTGCGGCCAACCAGGCAGCTGCAAAAGCAATGATGCTTGTGTCAGGCATCAATATTGGCAGTGCATATTTTGAATGCATCAACCTGAAAGATATGCCAACGAATTGTTGTGAGTACTATTTCTATTGTTTTTCAACTATCCTAAGACATTGACTGATATATACGGAGTATAATCTATCTTGCGTGTGTGATTGGTCAGATGGTCATGAAAGTGATAGTTTAGGTGGTTTATAAACTTCTGAAATGGAATTTTTGGTGTTCAAAGGAACTCCTTTGGCACTTCTAGAGTTTGAAATCTGAAGATTGGAAATTGGTTTACTGGCTTTCTACGTTGTTCTGTTTATCTCTCTATTACAAGTGATTTTATATCCCTTTTCTTGCAGCTGGAAACCTATACCATTTGATAATTGAAGCCTGCATTGCCAGGAAGCTACTGGATACATCTGTTTATTTCTGGCCTGGCTATGTAAATGGACGAATTAACCAGTTACCGCACAGTTTGCCTACTCAAGTGCCTGGTTGGTCATCATTCCTGAAGGGGTCCATGCTTACTCCAGTAATGGTTAATGCTTTAGTTTCAAGCCCTGCTTCAAGGTACAAACGAAGCTAGCTTTTAACAACAATTTTTGCTTCTCTGTAGTTCATAAAAATTTGAATGGGTTTTAGGTTCAAAAAGTAAGTTCAGCTTTAAGTTATTTAGCGAAGACACTGAATGAATTCTTGTGTTAGCCGAGAAATTAAGATACTATCAACTAGACAAATTGGAATATCCTAGAATATACAGGCAACTCTATCTGTTCTCTTCCATTAGGTTATCCCTAAATGTGCAATAACAGACTATTCTATTTATTCTGTTTTCCTAGATTTAGCATGGTCTTACACTTTTTCTTTCCTAGAGTGAGGTCTATTATGAGCCCCTTTTCTTTTATTAATACCCAAGGGTAAAGTGACTTATTTAAGCTCATGGATTTGTTGGAAGCTTAGCGGAACTTGAGAAAATCTTTGAAATGGCGGTTAAAGGTTCAGATGATGAGAAAATAGCTGCTGCAACAATTCTTTGCGGTGCCTCGTTAATTCGTGGTTGGAACATTCAGGTAATGAGCAAAAGAGAGTCATTACAACTAAGGCAAAAAGCTATAAAATAGAAAGCACATGGCAATTTACAAACCTTAATGCGCATATGATGAAGTCATAGAGTTGAAAATGAATTTAAAGCTTTGGGCAGTCTCATTAGTCATTTCTTTTTTTTTTTTTTTGTTTCAAAGAATCAGTCCTCTAATACATTCTTCCAAACAACTGTGCAGGAACACACTGTCTACTTTATAACTAGATTGTTGTCCCCTCCAGTTCCTGCAGGCTATTGTGGAAAAGACAGCCACTTGATTTGCTATGCACCAATGCTGAATGTGCTGCTAGTTGGAATAGCACCTGTTGACTGTGTCCAGATATTCTCTCTTCATGGCATGGTATGTGAAGTTCTCACTAAGCTATGATGAGAGGATAACAATTTTTTTTTTTTTTTTTTTTTTTGGGGGTGGGGGGTCCTGCTAGTTGGTATAGCATCTGTTGACTGTGTCAAGATATTCTCTCTTCATGGCATGGTATGTTGGGGTGGGGGGTGATACAGTACTCGAACCAAGACCTTAACTCCACCAGTTCATTAGTGAAGGTTTGGCCCCAACCCAAGTACCAAGCCGATGTGGGATCATATCATTGCCCACCCCTTGAGGAGCCGACGTCCACGGCGTCTTACACTTCCGGCTTACACTTCGGACTCTTCTTGGCACCAGGTAGCCCTTTTCTAGGTTGCCCCCTCCGCTAGGCCAACATTGGATGAGTGGACGGCTTCACTCGAGACCCTTCTTGGTTCCCTTTGAACCTTATCTCAAGCATAGCGTTCTTCTAGGTATCCCTTTCCCACCATACTCTGGTCTCTCAACAAGAGCACCAAATGATACAGTACTCAAGCCAAGACTTTAACTCCACCACAAAAGCTAACTCATGAGTGAAGGTTTGACCCCATCTTAAGTACCACTCCACAATCTCTTGCGGAGCCGATGTGGGATCGTATCGGGTGTGGGGGGGGGGGGGGGGGTAGAGGTAAGTGGGTGGGGATGCTATTATTTTCACAGTGAAAATTCTAATATAGCAAATCACTGAATAACCACTGCAAATATCATTATATGAATGTTTTAATAGTGGTTTATGTGATTGAAAATTATAAATTAGTCCTATACTTGTTTCAGGTTCCGCAACTTGCTGGTTCTCTAATGACAATCTGTGAAGTATTTGGATCCTGTGTTCCTGACGTTTCATGGAAACTGCCAGGTGGAGAGGAAATCTCAGCTCATGCTGTATTTTCAAATGCGTTTGCTCTACTTCTAAAGCTGTGGAGATTTAATCATCCACCTATTGAGTATGGAGTAGGAGATGTGCCACCTGTGGGGTGTCAGTTAACTCCTGAATACCTGTTACTAGTACGTAATTCCCATTTAGTGTCTTCGGGAAATATTCTAAAGGATCCACATAGAAGGAGACTTGCAGCCGTTGTAAATTCATCCTCTCCGAATCCGATATTTTTGGATTCATTTCCTAAACTCAAAGTATGGTATAGACAACATCTGGCATGTATAGCTTCGACTCTCTCTGGTCTAGTAAATGGGACCCCTGTCCACCAAACTGTTGATGTGCTACTTAACATGATGTTCCGAAAAATTAATAGGGGAAGCCAATCGTTGACCAGTGTGACATCTGGAAGTAGTAGTTCCTCTGGGCCAAGTGAGGATACTTACCCAAGGCCTAAATTACCTGCATGGGATATACTTGAAGCTGTGCCCTTTGTGGCCGATGCTGCTTTAACAGCATGTGCCCATGGTAAACTCTCTCCTCGTGAACTGTGCACAGGTTAGTCAGACGTGAAACTTGAAATTTAGAAGCTCGTTTACTCCCCGGTATAAATAACTGTTCTCTCTGTTTTGTTGACTTAAGTTCTCTAACACGCACATTTTTGCTGTGAATAATTTTAGTTCCACCTAGACATATGATATACTGTTGAGGCCTCTTTTTTCAATATCAAGTTCTTTGCTTTCTTATACTTTCAGGGCTTAAAGATTTGTCCGATTTTCTTCCTGCATCCTTGGCAACCATAGTGAGTTACTTCTCAGCTGAAGTCACACGTGCCATTTGGAAACCTGCTTTTATGAACGGGACAGATTGGCCAAGCCCTGCTGCAAATCTATCCAATGTGGAGGAACAGATCAAGAAAATTTTAGCTGCGACTGGTGTGGATGTACCAAGCCTTGCTGCAGGTTGTTATTATCTCTACCAACGAAATTGTAGCGTTTTATGTTTTATTTTGTGTAACAACTATTGTCCCGACCCTTTAATTTCTGCACGTCTCTGATTTGCATATTTTATCTTTTGTATAGGGGGAAGCTCTCCAGCTACACTCCCACTGCCATTGGCTGCCTTTCTCAGTCTAACTATAACCTATAAACTTGACAAAGCCTCGCAACGCTTTCTCAATCTGGCAGGCCCTGCTTTGGAGTCACTTGCAGCTGGGTGCCCATGGCCATGCATGCCAATTGTGGCGTCTTTATGGACCCAAAAGGCCAAACGTTGGAGCGACTTCCTGGTTTTCTCTGCATCACGCACGGTGTTCCTTCACAACAATGACGCTGTTGTGCAGCTTCTCAAAAGTTGCTTCTCCGCCACCATTGGAACAAATGCTTCCTCTTCCTCTATAACAAGCAGCAACGGGGGCATTGGGGCCCTTCTTGGCCATGGCTTTGGATCTCATTTTCAAGGTGGAATCTCTCCCGTTGCCCCAGGTATCCTATATCTACGAGTGTACAGATCACTTAGAGACATCATGTTCTTGAGAGAAGAGATTGTTTGTGTGTTGTTGCAATCTGTGAGGGACATAGCTTTCAGCGGTCTCCCGAGAGAGAGGTTGGAGAAGCTGAAGAAGGCCAAGAACGGGATGAAGTATGGAAACGTTTCTCTAGTCACTGCAATTACTAAAGTGAAAGTGGCAGCCTCGCTGGGGGCTTCTTTAATGTGGTTATCAGGGGGATTTGGTCTAGTGCAATCACTAATTAAAGAGATATTACCCTCTTGGTTTCTGTCAGTTCACACATCTGAACAAGCAGGAGGAGGAGGAGACTCAGCTGGGATAGTTCCAATGCTACAGGGCTATGCACTCGCATACTTCACCATACTCTGTATTGTTTTCGCTTGGGGCATCGACTCATCCACTTCAGCATCAAAGCGCAGACCGAAAATCCTCTGCCGCCACATGGAATTCCTCGCAAGTGCTCTCGACGGCAAAATATCACTGGGTTGTGATCCGGGTACATGGCACGCTTATGTGTCGGGATTCTTGAGCCTCATGGTGGGGTGCACCCCATCGTGGGTGTGCGAAGTGAATGTAGAGCTGCTCAAGAGGCTAAGTAAAGGGCTGAGACAATGGAATGAGGAAGAGCTTGCCTTTGCCTTGCTGGGCACCGGTGGGGTAGGTACAATGGGATTAGCTGCAGACCTGATTATAGAAACAGCCTCCTAGTACTTGCTCCTTTTTATCAAGTTTTGTAGATTTGCTCATTCATTCTAACATACTCACTGGGTAGTACTAATGTTTATAAATAAATATATTTTATATACATACATATAATGTAGTGTCCAGTCCAGTTAGGGAGTTTATTTACTCCAAGCTTACTCACTCTACAATTTATTTTCTTCTCAATTTCCTTACTATTTCCATCAAGTGCTCATAACCTCATTGCCAAATTATACTATCGATAATATTTTACATTGCAATGTGAATCATAAATGAATATTCATTTTTAATATATTAAAGGTACATTTTTAGATAGTAAACCAAATAATGTATTTGATAGGTTATATATTTCGAGTTTAGCCTTCCCGTACGCTACTTGCTCCGATTAGAGTCTGGTCAGTGGGTCAAAGTCAAACCCGCCAATCTTTGACCTATATAAAGGGTTTTGGCCCTCATTATTAGGGGGCCTCTCTTCTTTCTTCTCCACTCTCTCTCTCTCTCTATGCTGGTAAGCTACTCCCAACTGTTGGGAGCATTTAAAGGGAAATACTCTTGTCTTGACTCAAGTTGTCCCACATTGGTTGGATAACCTCTTCTTTCCACACTTATATACTCCAACACCTTAAAGAAGGTTTGAAGTGTTATGAGGAGGAAAATGAGGTAAACCACGTGCGCCGTCGCCTTCCCGTTGCGCGATGGGGTCAATGTTTTGCTCCTAAAACTATTTTCTCACCCTATTTCTGTGGATCATCTTAGGACCTTGTCCGCACAACTCTACAATAGTGGATGGTAAGAGGTGGGCTGTTACAACACACACACTATATAAACCACCCTAAACTCCACTTCTAAACACAGTTTTTGATAAACTATTTTCTCACCCTATTTCTGTGGATCATCTTAGGACCTTGTCCGCACAACTCTATAATAGTGGATGGTAAGAGGTGGGCTGTTACAACACACACACACTATATAAACCACCCTAAACTCCACTTCTAAACACAGTTTTTGATAGCCATACTGCCCAGAAACAACTGCGTTCATATTGCCTGAGAGTTGCAGGATATCTCCTGTACGTTTTGTTGTGCCTGTCGAGAGCATGCGATTCAATCCCTGGTTGTAAATGCTTTTAAGGTAGTGTTTAATACACGATACAGAACCTTATCATCATTCTTTAGTTCCAAACCAGTCATGCCCAAAGCTTCCCCATTGTTGTTTTTCCTAACAGTTAAAAGCATTTACTCATTTGGAAGCAAACAATGTCGGAGGTAACAAACACGGCGTCTGATGTTACACCAGTTCAATCACTCACTGGTGGTTTAAACTACAAGAGATGGGCTGCAAAAATGATTATGCTCCTGGAATCGAAAGATGTGGACTACGTCCTTTTTGAAGATCCTGTGAAGTTCAACATGGCAGTTATACAGCCACTATGCAGATCACAACTTCATCTGCATCGATAGGCCCGAAGTCTACAGATGCATCCAAGGACCCAAAGTCATCATCAGCGCAGGCTTCATCAGCTTTCGAGGCAATTCGGATCAAATACGAGAAAGATAACAAGATTACTCGGACAACCATTCTCCAACGTGTTTCTAACCCATTGTTCGACATGTTCTTAGAATACAAGTCTGCAAAGGTACACGAGTTTGAGAATTTGGTCGGTGACATGAAAGCAAAAGGTGGCATAGTTAATGAAGTTGTCATGTGTGACTCCTTGATTGACAAACTGCCTGATTCATGGGTGGACTTCAAGAACAAAATGAAACATGACCGAAGAAATTACACACTACAACAGCTGATAAATAGCGTGAGTATTGGGGAAGAGAATCGTCTGGTTCAAAGGTCTATTATTCTTACTGACAATGTTAAAGCCAATATTGTTGAAACTAACACTGGCTTTGACAAGCCAAAATTTGGTGACAGCTCTAGAAACCAAAAGAAACATTATAAGAATAACCATCATGTCAAGAGCGGGAAAATTCAGAAAAAAGGAAAGAATAATGGTAAATGTTATGTGTGTGGGAAACGAGGCCACCGTGCTTCCCAATGCTATCACCGCAAAGGAGCCACGAGCCAGAATGGTCAGAAGCCAAACAACGAAAGGCCAAAAAACCAAGCTAACCTCACAGAGAACACGGAGAATGCTGACATAGTAGCTGCAGTAATAACCGAGGCCAACGTGGTAGAAATCCAGACGAATGGGTTGTGGACACCGGAGCTTCGCGACACTTCTGCTACAATAAAGCTCGCTTCAAAGCTTTTGAGCCTATCACTGGTGGAGAACAAGTGTTCATGGGAAACTCCAGCACTTCCGAGGTAAGTGGTAGAGGAAAAGTAGAATTACTGCTTTGTTTCTGGAAAACATTTATTATTGCAGAATGTGCTATATGTCCCTTCCCTTCGAAGAAACCTAATTTCCAGAGGTCTACTAAATAAGGCTGGAATTAAGATGGTTTTTGAGTCTGACTTACTGGTTATGACTCGTTGTGAGAAGTTCATTGGGAAGGGATATCTACGCGAAGGTCTTTTTGTGCTAGATGTTTCTATAGTAAAAAATCACTCTGATGTAGCTGGACTTTCTCTGATTACTTGTGATAATAAGAATTCTTCTTCTGCTTATATTACTGTTTCAGTTAATATTTAGCATGGTAGATTAGGACATGTTGGTACAAAATGTTTAAATAGACTGAAAAACCTGAATATGCTGTCAAACTTGTCTAATGATACATGTGAACAATGTGAAACGTGTGCTCAGGCAAAATTTGCCAGAACATCTTTTTCAACTATAAAACATCGTACTTCAACTTTGCTAGAATTAATTCACACTAATTTAGCAGACTTTAAGACCACTGAAAGTAGAGGTGGCAAGCGTTACTATATTACGTTTATTGATGATTTCTCCCGATATACGAAAATATACTTATTGAAATAAAAAAGTGAAGCCGAACAAAAGTTTGTTGTTTTTAAAAATGAAGTAGAAAATCAGTTGGAAAAAAGGATTAAAAGGCTACGATCCGATAGAGGAGGAGAGTATGAATCAAATTTCCTGAAAGATCTGTGTGAATCTTCTGGTATTATACATGAAGTAACTGCACCCTACACACCCCAACAAAATGGCATAGCAGAAAGAAAGAATAGAACTCTCAAAGAGATGATCAATGCTATGCTAATCAGTTTAGGTGCTTCTGACTCTTTGTGGGGGTAAGCTGGTTTGTAGTATTTGCTCCTTTTTATCAAGTTTTGTAGATTTGCTCATTCATTCTAACATACTCACTGTGTAGTACTAATGTTTATAAATAAATATATTTATATACATACATATAATGTAATGTCTAGTCCAATTAAGGAGTTTATTTACTCCATGCTTACTCACTCTACAATTTCTTTTCTTCTCAATTTCCTTACTATTTCCATCAAGTGCTCATAACCTCATTGCCAAATTATACTATCGATAATATTTTACATTGCAATGTGAATCATAAATGAATATTCATTTTTAATATATTAAAGGTACATTTTTAGGTAGTAAACCAAATAATGTATTTGATAGGTTATATATCCCGAGTTTAACCTTCTTGTACGCTACTTGCTCCGATTGGAGTCGGGTCAGTGGGTTCGGGTCAACGGGTCAAAGTCAAACCCACCAATCTTTGACCTATATAAAGGGTTTTGGCCCTCATTATTAGGGGGCCTCCTTTCTTCTCCACTCTCTCTCTCTATGCTGGTAAGCTACTCCCAACTCTCTCTACAAAAGGATAAGAAAATCAATAAAGAAAGGAATTTGATGAGCCCATATTCCTCCAAAGGATAAGAACATCAATAAAGAAAGGAGTTTGATGAGTCCATATTCCACCCTTTTATACTCCTTTGTTCATACATATTACATACAATACATACATTCTATATACGGGAATTAGTACTATTATTTTGGCGCCATCTGTGAGTCCAAGGGACCTGTGACAAAAGGTCCGTGTCCTCCCTTTTTCCAGTCAGCTTCCCGACTGCCACCATCCTCACGCATGTGCCACCGAACAAAAAGGAGAGGGGGTTTAACATCTGGAGTTAGAAAAATCCAAACCTAGGTGTTCAAATTGTCAATCCAATGCCCCGACCGCTACACCACTCTTCTCACTGGTTCATTTCCTCTGTTTGTTGCCACTTGAAGATCCAGGGGAGGCCATTTTTGTTTCCAGGCGCAATCTGGATAAAGAAGCAGCTGCATGCAGATGATCAATCGTCCATCAAACTTCATTTCCACCAGAAGCTCAATCGTCATCCTCACACTCTTGATCAATGCCGAAGATTCCAGGGCCGCCATTCGCCGCCGTCCCTATTGATTGCGACGCCAGTATCGTCGCCGTCACTTGTAGTGCGGTGCATGCGAAGAGAGAGTCATTAACACGACTAGGACGAGTCTATATGATGTGATACAAAAGTAGGACACTTTTTAAAAGCAAACAAAGATAGGACAAGTGCTTTCATGGAATGCATATGTTTGGTTAACATAAAATGCACTCTCAGAGTGCATGTTTGCTTTTTAGGAAAAAAAAATAGTTTAAATATAAAAGAATGTAGTATTATATGTGTATGTGTATAGTATTGTCAAAGTTAATATATACGTGTAAGTATAAATGTACACTTTTTTTTTTTTTTTTTTTTTTTTTTTTTTTTTTGGGTGAAAAACATATATTTATTTTTAGTTAATTATTACATAATCATTTCTAGTGCATTCATAATGAATAGTAGTTAGTTAATTAGTACATAATCATTTCGAAAATTAAATGTAATTAGCAATAACTTGTAATTGGTGTATAATAATAATGAAAATAAATTGTTTAATTATTAAGAATCATAAAAGTAATAAAATTAGTAATAATTACATAATGACTACAATTTGTTGTACTTGGATAAATAAAATTAGTAATTTGTTGTATTTAGATAAATAAAATTAGTAATTATCCGGGTTGGATTTTCAATTTGAAGATTATGAGTTCAAGCTTCCGCGTTATTGGTTCTTTGTGTTTCAGTAGGTTGAGAAAGTATATGAACAGATACTACAATGTAATAGAGCCAGTAACTTTCAAAAAAAAAAAATTAGTAATTATCCTTTAGTTGTAATATAATTGTAATATAATAAGATAAAATAATTTATGACTATTTTA